GGCAATAAGAACTTCACCAGAGACAATCAATAAGCAGGACGAAATACACATTCAAGCCCTGGAGGAACTATCATTAAGGATCAGAACCACAACACCCAATGGAGGCTACCAATTAACCAGAGACCATTCAACAACAATCAGCAGTAGTATCAGCAAGGTAGCAGCAGTGGAACGTTTGAACAAAGAAGAAACAACTACGTTCCTTTCCACAGAGATGACCAACGCATCAACACCTTGGAAAATTATGTCAAGGAATATGTCACCAGGAATGATGCAGTGGTCAGGAACATTGAGTCCCATCTGGGGCAGATTGCTGCCAACCTTCAAACCAGAACACCAGGATCACTACCAGGGTACACTGAGGTCCCCTCAACCATTTCTGAAACCCCTTGAGAGGTAAGTACCATGTCTAGCTAAAGACATTAAACTAAGCGCTGACTGTAAGGCAACCCAGTAGATACATTTGCTCTCTGACAAAGAGCAAAGTTTTTGGGGTGGTTATCCATAATCACATAGCTCCCAAAAAGGAGGGAACATCTGATGTTCCTCTCCAAAAAGTCCAACTAAAGTACGTTCCGTTCCAGGAACGTAGTTTTGGGGTGGTCCCTAACCACACCTCCACAATGAAAAGGAGAAACCCTCCTATTTATCTTAGCTTAGTTGTTAATTTAGTTTATTTTCGTTCCCTTGTGATTAATCTTTTTGAAATAGAAAAGACTTTTTTGATCAAACTATTTGGTACATGCATGCATTTCAGTTATAGTATTAAGACTGCCCAATTCTTTTGGATTAACTAACATACATGAAACACAAAGTCACTGACTAATCATGCTTGTTCTTTCTCTGAGTACTTGAAAATAGAAACAGTGCAGGGAATTTAATCCTCAGATTTTTTAAAGAAGCTGATCTGTGTGAACTCAAACTGGTAAGGAACGGAAAAAGGCCAAACACCTACTACTGAGAGCGTTCCTGATGTGTAACCACAATGAAACTTCTCAGCTTGCCTTAATGCTGTAAGTACTGTTGAAGACAGATGAATTCTTCTGTCAAGGATCAAAACAGAATCACACACTCACCTCACCTCCGTCATACACCATCTGGTCAATCAGAAAGAACAAGGAACATACTCAACAATGAACAAAAAAGGACAGAAGAAAAACAAAGAAAAAGGGGAAAAGTCATTCAAAAGAATTCAAGAAAAACCAGAAAAACCTTCCTCCAAAGGGGGAAAAAGGTTCAAGAAAAGGTGTTCCCTCAAAACAGAAAAAGTCCAAGTTCAAAGGCACAAAAGCTAAACGTTCCTTGATCCCACATATCAGACCACCACTTCTTCCACATTTCCATACACTTACCCATCAAAGAATCCTTAGACAGCTGTACTTCATAGGAACGCAGCAGAAAGGCAAGTTCTGAAGAATCATATCCAGGAATGGACAGAGCAAACACCAACCCATGAGTGACAGTGAGACAAAAGATCAGCAACCTTCTATTATCTGGGGACAGAATCCTCTTACTGTTTACTATGGAGAGTAGTTCATTTTTTGAAAAGTTCATGGTTGCTCACTGGTTCAAGTTCCTTTCTGCTATGCTATTCTTTTAAATTGGGCAGACCAATACAATATTTCTAAGTTGTTTGAGGACAACCAACAGTTTAGTTTTGGGGTGTTTGATGGGACGTAAATTCGTTCCCATCTAAACCCATTTTGATGGAAAAATACCATACGTTCCCTCATCTAATGAGCAACTTCAGCATGCAAATCACTTGTTTTACACATTTGTGACAAAAACACAGTGGGGGAACGGATGGTAACGTATTCCTTTAAAATATATTAAAAGGGGAACGGACTGAGACGCATTTAATGCACCTGCTCCATTCATTTAATGCTTCTGTACACTTTGCAGGTAACATAGAGTTAAAGACTTCTAAAAAGCAAGGCGGTGCACCAACTGAGCAGCTGGAAACGTGAAGAGCAGAGAATCAAGAGTTCTCATTGGCTGAAAATAGAAGCAAAACATGGGAAGGTCTGCAAACAACGGCTAATCATCACCAAATCCTGTTCCATTCAACAATTCATGCAAGCTTCACACTCTGCTGCCACAGTCCCGTCCCCTCATTCAGACAGCTTAGCCATTGGGGGAAGGTAGATGTCATGGCAAAAACGCTACTGGTCACCTTAAGAATAAGGGGCCAACTCGTCCATTTTAAGGTTCTGAACTAAGTACCTGTTGGAGTCAAGGAAGGCATAGGAATATGGAAACTTGTAAGCCATCTAGACCATGAGCTGAGGAATCAGAGTTGACAGGCAAAGAAACTGGGACAAAGCCAAAAGGTGCTAAGTCTTGAGCAGAGAAAACAGCCCCTTTAAAAGTGAAGCAGTGAATCTGTTCCTTCTGTTAAACTGTTTTAACCACCACCCTGTTGTCTCTTGATTATAGTTATTTCTGTTTTAGTAGTTTTATTTTATTTTATTTAGTACTTATAAAAACTCCAATGATTGTTATCTCACCTTTTTCTAAACAGGAAGGATCACATACATAACGCAGCGAGCAACTGTTTGCCATCAGATTGAACCTACTGTTCTTGAGGAACGTTGTCAAGACAGTATGGAACGTTTGACCCAACAGTTCATTTACTAACTTTTCTTCTCATTTTCACTCTTTGTAAACAGTGATAAAACAATAATTAGCACTTTATCCTCGTAGGAACGATAATTTGGGCATTAATACTCCCTTTATTACTTGATGCGTGCACTTGCGCACTTGGGTTGGAACTAAGGGACGAATCTGTGTTCTGCAAGAACAGAGGAACGTCCCCTATCAGAACTTATATTTTTCCACCATCAGCAAACCACCCAACAATAAGCAAAGTTCAACTGAAGGTTGGTAATTGTATTTAGAATCAGCATATGGTATTCAAATAAGAAAGAATCAGCATATTTGTGGATGCCTATAAAAGAGACATCGCAAAGGGTAGCTCAAACAATAATAATGTATAACTGAAGATGTGAGATGTGTGAACAGAGTAGGGATATGTGTGTGTAGCTGATAGATTTAACTCTTTATTTATATGTGAGTCATCTGTATGTAGGGGTGAAATTGGGCCGCTGGTTGGGCCATACTCCATAGGGGTATTCTCTTCTACTATTAAACCCGAGCCGGCCTACAGGGTCCTACGGCTCGGCCTACGTTAGGCCAGAACTAACCTATTATATTTTGTAAAATAGGCCGAACTTGGACATTGAAAAACTTGTTTAATAAAAAGGTCGTAGGCTCACTTTCACAAGGCCTGACCTATAAGCCTACATGCTGGCTATATTGTACTATTTATTTTAAATAAAATAAAATAGAATAAGTATGCCTTGAGAAAAACAACAAAAGATATAAATTTAATCAATTGCAATCATTTATAACTTAATTATATTCGATTATATTTTAATAGAAATCTGATTTTATTTCTTATGTGGGAGGAACCAAGATCTCAGCATGTTAGATTGTGTATATGAATATATTAAAAAGGTTTTCGGGAGAGGTTATACTTACTACAAGCATCATGATGTGTTTGTTGGATTCATGTAGTTATTTTAATTTACATAGTAAGGATTTGTTATTTGGATCTGATAAAATATATGTTATTTAGTTTGAGCATTTTGCTTTTGAGAATGACTTAAATGCAGATTATATGAGTTTTGTTGTTATTCATGATCCAGTTTGGACGTTGAAATTATGATTTTTGGTTTAGTAACAAAATTTGAGTATTTTGTAAAGTTGATTCATGATTCTGCTTGGAAGTTAAAAATTAACAGGCTAACGAGCTAGGTTAGGCTATTTGTTTTTTATAAACGGGTCAAGCCAGGCTAATAGTTAGACTCGTACCAAGCTTGCGCCAGACCAAATTAAAAAATTTTAAGGTAGGCTTGGGTTTTTCGGGACAAAGCTTGGCCTAACCCAGCTCACTTTTACCCCTATCTGTAGGTGTAGATTAATAGAACTTTGGGAGAGAAGATAAGTAGTTTTATCTCTATCTTTTAGGCATAGGATATATGATTCTATCTTATCTCCTTAGTTAAACACTTATCACGTGCAATTTTGTTAACGGTTATGGTCTTATCGGATAAGTCGTGTTATGGATATGAATATCATATCCCAACTATCCAATTAAGAATCTACTAAGAGATAGAGTCATAAAGATCTCAACAACTCTGAACAGCCAAAGGGCACAAGATGAGGATCACATCCCAATAGAAAGGGAGTTGAATCCTATTGCAATTGGGGGAGCTCAAAAGGCCCAAGCCTAGGAAGGTAACCCTTATAAATAAGAGCTTAAGGACCCCAGGTAAGGACTTGGAACCTATTTACGAATACTGCTCACACTGTGCACATACCCACCCCCTTGGCTATTAGCCTATTGCTTGTGCGCAGTAATTGGGACCTCGGCTATAAGCCTAGTATACATCTAATATACACTATCTCTGAGCGCATACCATACGGTATAACAATACGGTCTATCCAGGACCTAACATTGGCGCCATATGTGGGGAACGATAAATTTTGACTCCCTTTCCACGATGACGAACACTCGTTCGACGTCTGGCACTGTCCCACCGTTGCAGCACTTGTCTGTGTTGGAACACCTCCAATCAACAGCTACGACTCCCGTGCTGGTGGATGTCCAGGTCGGATAGGTCGGAACTCAGATACCGCCCTTGAGGAACCCAGCCAACACGGCCGTGGAGACAGTGCGTCCATCTCCAGGAAATAACCAGTCAGAGGATGTCACCACGAGGGCCATGAATGCAATCCTCCAAAGAATGCAGGAGATGGAAAACATATTTCTGGCCCAGCAAGCGGTGAACGCCCAGAGGATGGAAGCACTGGAGGCCGAGCTACAAAATCAAAACCTTGGAGGCCGAGCTGAAGGATTGGGCTGAGGCAGAGGAGCAAGCCAGGTAGCTGGGTCGCAGCACCAGAACGCGGCCATAGCGGATGGGAATGCGCAGAATATGCAGAAACCTAACCTCGGCAACAACCAGAACGACAACCAAGATGATAACTATCTACATGATGAGGAGGCTAATGATATCCCATTCACTGAGAGGCTCATGAACTTAGCTATTCCGCCGAGATTCAAGGGTACCAGGATACCCCCGTACGACGGAAGTCAAGACCCAGAAGCCCTTTTGGAGGCTTTCAAGACCGAGATGTTGTTCAACGGGATCACTGGACCCATTAAGGCAAGGATTTTCGCAACGACTCTGACATGTCAGGCGATGGCTTGGATAACCAGGCTACCCAGGAACTCGATCGACTCATTCGAGGATCTAGCCCGGACTTTCCGACTAAACTTTGCAACAAGCAAGGTGCACCCAATGCCAGCCTATGCTTTGGGAAGAATCCGGCAAAAGGAGAATGAAACGCTGAGGAAATACCTCGATAGGTTTAAAGATGTCGCCCTTAAGGTTCAGGGTTTAACCGAGGCAGTACACCTCCACCTGATCATATCGGGATTGGATGGCGACTCTCCACTCGCGAAGTCCATCTATAAGAACCCGGTTAATGATTTGGAAGAGTTCCAACGAAGGTCGGATAAATACATTGACGTGGAAGACATGCAAAAAGTCTATATGGAATCCCGTGGACGAAGTCCGACACGTCGGAGCCCGAGTAAGAAAAACAACAAAGATCGAAACCAGAGGGGATCGAAGAAAGCAAAAGACTCTCGTGATAAGAGGTCGGAAGATCAGTCTCCGAGGAGGAAATATGATGATTATACACCTTTGAACATGTCCAGAGCCAGGATATAGAAAGAGGTGGCTCAGACCGAAATGCGCAATGTCGAGAGACCTCGACCCCTCAAAGTCAAGAGTGGATTGGACAGGAACAAATATTGTGCCCTCCATGACCAGAATAGTCACATCACTGATGACTGTTGGGACCCCCAAGATGCCATCGAAAAGAACATCAGAGAAGGGAAGCTAAAACAGTACATCATCCGAACTCAGGGCAAGAAGAATAATAAACGAAGGCAGAGAAGCCAGAGCCGAAGCCGAAGCCCAAAGAGAGAGGATAGAAAGGATCAAAGACCAGACCGCCCTGCCAAAGGCAAAGACGACGCTTTCCCAGAAGTCGAATTTGAATGCAATGTGATAAGCGGAGCTCTGGGCGGGGGAGGAGACACGGCCAATGCAAGAAGAAAATACTTGAAGGAGGTCATGCCAGTAAGAGACAGGCCGACCTTCAAAGGGAAAACCAGTAGTCTTTCCCCCCCCCCCAAGACTATTTTTCACTCAGGAAGAACTAGCGATGGTTGTACCCGGACATATCGACGGATTGGTAATCACCGGGGTGCTAGTTAACTGTCGGGTTAAGAGGTTCTTTATTGATCTTGGAAGCTCGACAGATATAATTCTCTGGGATGCTTTCCAGAGGATGAACCTGGACGAGAAGGACTTGAAACCATGCGTCACCGAGTTGGTCGGTTTCAACGGAGCATCGTCCCCTCCAAAAGGTTACATTGATTTGAAGTTGACCTTAGGCACGAAGGACTCGTTCCGAGCTAGAAGGGTTCGCTTCATCGTAGTGGACACCTCGTCTTCCTACAATGTGATCATTGGCAGGCCTACAATCTATGAATGGGATATGCTGATATCCACTAAGCATCAAGCACCCAAAATGTCAGGGCTGAATAACGAGATTGTTACAATAAGAGGCGATCAGGTAGAATCACGGAAGTGCTACTATAAGACCTTGCGAGTCCATCATGGAGGTCCGTCATCTCCCCCTCGGCTTAAAGATGGAGGAGCTAAGGGCCAGTTGTTAAAGGCATGCGAAAACGAGGTAAACGTGATTGAACTCGACATGAGGGAAGAACTCCAAGCACCTCGCCCAGAACCCCAAGGGGAATTAGAAGATGTCAGTGTTGGAGAAGAAGGGAAATGACGCACCAAGGTCGGAAAGGCCCTAAGGGACGAGACCAAAACCGAGCTAGTGACCTTTCTGAGTCAGAACTCGGATGTGTTCGCATGGAAAGCCTTGGAAATTTCGGGAATAGACCCAACTTTCTGCTGTCACAAGCTTTCCATGTACCCCGGATCAAAGCCGATATCCCAGAAGAAAAGGAAAATAGGTCCTGACCGACGTCAGGCCCTGAACGAACACGTTGACGAAATGCTAGGGGCCGGTTTCATCAAAGAAATCCAGTACACCACCTGGTTATCTAACGTCGTGATGGTGAAAAAAACCAAGTGGGAAATGAAGAATCTGCGTTGACTACACTGACCTTAATAAGGTCTGCCCCAAAGACTCATACCCAATGCCAAACATTGACCAGCTTGTGGACAACTCTGCGTGTTTTGAACTCTTGTCTTTTATGGACGCATATTCCGGAAACAATCAAATCCCACTACATCCTGATGGCCATGAGAAGACCGCCTTCATCACAGAAAAAGGAAATTTCTGTTACAACAACATGCCCTTTGGCCTCAAGAATGCCGAGGCGACTTATCAAAGGTTGATGAACCGTGTTTTCCACGACCAAATTGGGAGGAATCTAGAGGTTTACATTGATGACATAATCGTCAAGTCGGCGCACATAGACACGCATGTAGCTGACCTAAGGGAAACCTTCGAGCAATTAAGAGCTCGGAAGATCAGATTAAACCCGGCCAAATGTGCTTTTGGGGTGCCAACGGGAAAATTCATGGGTTTCATGCTCACCAATAGGGGGATTGAAGTGAACCCCGACAAGTGCAAAGCCGTACTCGAAATGAAGCAGCCAGAAAGCAAGAAAGAAATTCAACAGCTCACAGGGCGTCTTACGGCTTTAACTAGGTTCCTGCCCAAGTCGGCAGAAAAGGCCTTGCCTCTCTTCAAGCTCTTAAAAAAGGAGGCGTATTTCGAATGGGGAGACGACTGCAAAAGGGCATTCGAAGAGATAAAGAATTGCCTAGCTACCCCACCAGTGCTATCAAAACCAGAGCCTAGAGAAACGCTAATTCTATATCTTTCTATAGGAGAAGAGGCCATTAGTGCCGCCTTGGTAAGGGAAACTGACAAAGGGCAGCAACTAATATACTTCACAGACGTACATTGTAAGGGCCCGAGCTCCGTTATCAGAAGCTCGAAAAGGTGGCATTCGCCCTGCTTATCACGGCCAGGAGGCTCCGACTTTATTTCCCAGGTCACCGAGTCATTGTGCGTACAACCAGCCCATCAGGCAAGTACTTCACAAGCTGGACCTAGCGGGAAGGATGATCAACTGGGCCGTCGAGCTCTCCGAGTTCGATATATCATATGAACCTCGGCAGGCAATTAAGTCACAAGCATTGGCCGACTTCATCCTGGAGCTAACCCCATCCAATGAAAAGGGAAAGAGGAATGAAGATCTCTGGACAATATACGTCGACGGATCCTCGAACTCTAAGGGGAGCGGAGCCAGGGTGATCGTTGAAAGCCCGGAAGGAGTGTCCATTGAACACTTCACCTGGCATTTCCGACCTCAAACAACCAAGTTGAATATGAGGCGTTCATTGCCGGGATCGTGCAAGCAAAAGAGCACGGAGCAAGGAAGATAAAAATCATGAGTGACTCACAATATTTACCTCACAGGTTGAGGGAAAATATCAAGCCAAGGGTCCCCTCATGATGAAGTACCTCCAACAGGTCAAGGAGCTATTAGCCGAGTTTGACGAGGTTGTGATCCAGGACATACCTCGGAACGAGAATAATAGGGCCGACATCCTATCTAAACTCGCCAGCTCGAAAGGCTCAGGAAACCATCGCACTGTAATACAACAGAGCATCTTGGAACCAACCTGCATCATGGTGATAACCGAGACTGAGGATTGGAGGAGGCCAATTGTGGCCTACCTGGAAAAAGGAGTTCTCCCAGATGAAACATAAGAGGCCAGAAAACTCATGAGGAACTCGGCCTGCTTCACCATAGTAGAAGGGAAACTCTACAAAAAGGGCTTCTACACACCCATGGTAAAGTGCTTAAGTAAGAATGAAGTTGAGTATGTGCTGGCCGAGATCCATGAGGGCATAAATGGACATCACATGGGAGGAAAGACCTTAGCCAGAAAGGCACTAAGGACAGGATACTACTGGCCAACTATGGAGGCAGATGCGAAGGAGCATGTCAAAAGGTGCGAACAGTGTCAGAAGCATGCACTAATCCTTCATGCACCCCCTGAAGAGCTGCAAACTATCACGGCACCATGGCCGTTCTTCAAAGGGGGACTGGACCTATTGGGACCATTTACCGCGGCTGAAGGACAACTCAAGTGGTTGAATATGGCTGTTGACTACTTCACCAAGTGGATCGAGGCTGAACCCCTCACCACCATTACCTCGGCAAGGATACAGAGGTTCTTCGAAAGAAACTTGATTAGCCAATTTGGACTTCCCGCCGAGATCATCACAGATAATGGGACACAGTTCACTGATGAAAAGTTCCAAGAGCTAATGACCGACTTCAAAATCACACATCGGTTTGCATCAGTTGAACACCCTCAGACTAACGGACAAGCTGAGTCTGCCAACAAAGTGATCATCAAAGAGTCCTCCTCCATCCGTGCCAGCATGGCCCTCACAGTAGAGGTCAAACCCGAGCCACCAATGAGTCCCAGAGGAGGCTTTAAGACGGCCCTAAGGCGGTCAGAGACCCCCGTTCTCCACAACTCCCCAGGCTCAAGGCTGATCAAATTCCCTTGAGGAGCGGCGGGGGGAGCTGGAAGCGGCGAAGAGGGAGGAGTTTGCACATCAACCATAACCACCCCATCGTTGGACGAGCTCCTGCCGAGTATGGAGTCTATTCGCCTTTTCTTTGAAGCCTCCGACTCAAGGGGAGCAACTTCTTTCGACTTCCCTTTTCCGGTCTTCTTAGGCAGAAACTTCTTGTATTTAGCGGAGGTCATGCTGACTGCAAAAGAAGAGCAAAATCAGAATGCAGATTATAAATCTATAAGACAGGTTAAACCACACAAAAAAACAAAAAAAACTACATACCGAGCTCATAAATGGCATCCTCCCCAAACTTATCTACAATCCAACTTAAGTCAATAACGCCGAATTCATCGGCATATTCAATAAGAACTCAGACTGCCAGAATTTTTGAGCTAGAAAGAGCAGCTAAGGGGGTATCATAGTCCTTCGGACGCCTCCGGTAATGTTGCTGCGTCCAGTATAATTCAAATCGAGATGATATGCCACCATCATCCAACCACTTGTCGGCAAACCAGGGGAGGGACTCAGAACGAGATACCACTTTAAAGTAGGCATCCTTGAAGCCTTTGAAAGACTGGGAATAAGAAATAAAAATCCCCCTTCCCGGAGTACCTCGTAAGGTAACCCACCCTCTCTTCTCCTTAGCCTCGGGACCAGTCCGAGAAGTATACACATCGAAGAAGAGAGCAATGGTGCAGGGCAGGAACAGATAGGCACACACCTGCTCAAAACCCCGAATAAAAGCCCACGAATTCGGGTGAAGTTGCGAGGGTGCGACCCTAAGACGTCGGAGCACGGACGTTTGAAAGTCCGTGAAAGGAAGCCGAATCCCCAACTTGGTAATGAGATCTCTGTAGAAATAGAAGAAATTGGGCTCGTCCAATATAGGACCTGAGCACACTGGGAAGTCGCCGGGTGGAAGAAGATCAACCCCACCGGGATCTCCCGCTGGGAGTTGGGCCACCTCGGCAGAAGACATCGTGGACCGTTTTTGGAGAATCTCGAGAAGGACCCAATCTTGAGCATTGGACTCGTCCATAACTATATCCCTGGAATATGAACGACAAGGGTCAGTACACATATCAACCAAATCTGACCTCGAACTACCCAGGTCGGACGGCAACGAAGACGGACTCCAAGAAAATGGAATGGAGCTATCTGAACTACTGACGAGGTCAACGAACGGTACCCGACTCGATGCATAATCATCCAGGCAAGAAGGAATGACTGATTCAGGAAAACCTAGCTCGGATGAGGAAAGACTGGAAGAGCTATCACTCAAACCGAGAGGAGCAATCCGATCCAGAACGGACCTCGGACCCGGAGTTACCTGGGAGGACGGCAAAATATAAGACAAAGGGACAGGGTCGGGAAAAGAGCTCGACCCAGGAATCGAAGAACTCTCTAAGGGAGGGTTGGTTGGGCTAAAATTAAGCTGACTCTGACGACCTCCTCCTCTCCGACCTCTCCCTCTCTTGCCAACGCCACCCTGGGATCTCTGACGACCTCCCCTATGACCACAAAGAAGCTGTTGAAGTTTCTCCTCCTCAGTGTATTCTTTACCAAAGAGCCAGTACTGGACCGACCTAGGTAATTGCCTCAATACCTCCTCACTTACCTCATCACCTCGGCCGGAAGCCGGGCCAGAAGAGGAACCTGGGGCACTCATCAGGAACCCCCACAAAAGATAAAAACAGGGAACCCCCTAAATGAAAAGGACAGAAAGAACGCGAGTTCAATACAAAGTAAAACACTACACTCTAGAATCTCCAAAGTATACAGCCAAACAAAAAGCAAAGCATGCACCAGGCAAATACTCGAGACGATGGAGTAAGTGAAGAAAATAAAGGAAGGACTAAAGGAATACCTAAACAAAGAGTGAATGAAGCAACTGTGAATCGATTAAAGACAGTGCAAACTCAAGAAAAGCCTTCCCAAAACAGCAGCAAGTGTAGAGAAAAAACGCTCGCAGCAAAACTCAGAAGAAAGTAAAAGTCCAACACCAGTTTTCAAACTGGTATTTAAAGGACAAAGAGCATGAGGCGCGAAGACGAAGGGGTTTCCTAAATGGTTAAGTGATGAGGGGCAAAAAGGGGACTTCACCCTGGATACATTAAATGCACACAATCATAACCTATGAAAAGCTCAGTACGGCGCGCCCTGCACGATGCACGAACCCCCAATAAGGGGAAGGCACGTGGAAACTTACAACTGTCACAGCAGGCGTGAAACGAAAGGTCAGAGAAATAAAATAAGATCAAATGTCGACCTCTAAGCTCCGATGTCGTCTCAAATATAGCAGATCAGGCATAAGCTCGACCGTAAGGTCATAAATGAAGGTTGTAACATGGCCAAGACCCTCAACTCGGCCCTACACGATGAAGTCAAAGCTCGGACCAAACAATGCTTGAAGGTAGCAAACGAGCTCCGGAAAATTCCGACACACATAAGCACGATTTCACATACAAACTCCAGGGAAGATTAAGAAGCGTCACGCGAACGATCTCGGCAAAAGTAGTCCTAAGCTAGAGAAGGGACGTAAAAATATCAAAAACTCAACCCTGAGACCAATGACCTCGGACAAACCAGATCCGAGGTGATGCAGCAGCACCTCGGCATTCCGAGCCTCGGAATACCGAGCTGGGGGGCAACTGTTATGGATATGAATATCATATCCCAACTACCCAATTAAGAATCTACTAAGAGATAGTCATAAAGATCTTAACAACTCTGAACAGCCAAAGGGCAAATGATGAAGATCACATCCCAACAGAAAGGGAGTTGAATCTTACTGCAATTGGGGGAGCTCAAAAGGCCCAAGCCTAGGAAGGTAATCCTTATAAATAAGAGCTTAAGAACCCTAGGTAAGGACTTGGAACCAATTTACGAATACTGCCCACACTGTGCACACACCCACCCCCTTGGCTATTAGCCTATTGCTTGTGCGCAGTGATTGGGACCTCGGCTATAAGCCTAGTATACATCTGATATACACTATCTCTGAGCGCATACCATACGATATATCAATACGGTCTATCCATGACCTAACAGATCGATAACAAAATTTATATATTTTTTCCATTGAATGAGCCTCTCTTCATGTGTAAAGGAGAATTCAAAAAGTAAATATTCAGTATTTGTTTAGAATCATATAAAAAGTGAAATTAATAGATAGAGATAGGTTATATTTATAAATTTTTATTTATAAATTACATTATATATTATGAATAGTGCATATTCAAACAATATGTATTATTTATAAAATATAATGTAATTATAAAATTTGAATATGCACTATTCATAATATATAATGTAATTATAAAATTTTTTATAAATACAACACTGCTTCGATGGATGGAGTAAATAAATGTTAATAGAATAAGTTTAGATTTGAATTTGGATAACAGTAATGTCATCTGTACATACGTAAGATGTAACAGTACTTCGCAACAACCTTTTGTTAGGATATATTTGTTATTCAATATTTCACTCTCATCTCATATAGCTTATGTCTATATTTGGACGTGCTCATTATAATACAAATCAAGCTTTTCATGCACGATGCATCCAAGTTATTATGATATCATAGGTGACATGATTGTGGCTCTAATTTTATTAATAAAAAAATTAAATATTATAAAATTTATTAACACAAATAAATTAGATCTAATGTATTGTCCATCTTTTAAGCTCAATAAAAAGAAACATAAAATCATTAATATAATTTAAGCAAACAACTTAAATATGTAGGTTGAATGTATAAAAAAAAATGGGTTGAAGTGTTTGTTTCCTAAATATATATGTAATTTTAGCGGATAACAAGAATTTAGATCCTATCTAATTTGCTTTTGGGATACTGTAATGATTGAATGAATGAAATTATTCCGAGGAGAGCCTTATGGCTTCTTCCTTCCTTCCTTTGCTGAGCTTGATTCCTCAAAGTCCCACCAAGAAGCTGCGACGTAGTCGGTTTGGATAACATTGTCGAGATGTCGGTTCTGGATGTCGCTATTTTTCTCTCTCCTCTCCTCCTTTATCAAATAAAAATCCCACTTTGGTTTCATTTACCGGACATTCCCTTGAGTTATCTTTAAAATAAAAAATAAAATAAAAAAACAACAACACAACTTAGCCAGATGTTTAGGCATGACTAGGAAGATTAATTAATATTTAACAGAAAAAAAATTAATAATTATTAATTAATCAATAATAAAGAAACATCGATGAGTGAGACCACGTAGCTGTAACGGTGAAGGCAGTACCAACCAACTAACGTCGTTACTCATCCTCACTTTAAAAGTAATCCATGCCCTGGCTACACCCGTTACTCCAAAGCTCCCTCAAAGCTTTCTCAATTTGCCACGTGTCATTCAAGACAAAACGGCACCGCTTCAAGCTAATGATTTTATTGCTAATGCTTGATTAAATCACCAAGCAAGAAAAACGAAACGGATTAAAGAAAAAAAAACGCTTCAAATTACACGCTCTCATCATCGAATGCGCTTCTCTTCTCGAGTGCTCTGCTTCGGGTATCCCATCATCATCGTCGTCATTATCTTCATTCCTTAATCGATTCTCACATTACAGGCGTGTGGTGAGGGTGCCCTAAGCGATTCCGCGGAACGTTATTCACGAATCATGATTAACCATTCATAAAAAAAAGAAGCTTTTTTCCTTCAGTTACCGGTGGTTGCAGATTTTTGCGCCGCCGACCAATTTAGGGCTTTTTTTCCGATGACGTATTACGAGGATGATGGCGGTGGTCGGAGAGGGGAGGTGGTCCCGGTCCTCACCCTCACAATCCAAGCTGACGATAACAATGGGGACTATGTCAAATTGATGCCTCACCCCGACGAGGATTCTCCGCCAGCTGCAGCGGCGGAGCCTTCTTCTCCGGCGAGAGGAGCCGCTGTGTGGTATTGGGTTAAATTGGTGCTGTTGTTTTTATGCCTGGCTTTCTTGGCTGTGGTGGTGCTCAAGTGGGTCGGACCCTATTTCATAGACAAGGTTTGTACTTTTTCCCCCACTGGCTATTATTGGATTTGGAATTTGCTTTGTGTTTTGGGGTTTGTTTTTCCCTCGTAAAGTTTTGATTTCGAGAATGAAAATGATGCTTCGCTTTTGCAGATACCATTGCGGTTTAGGATTATTGAAATGTTCGCTCTTGATGGTGCAGAATAATGTATTTTTTGTTCTTTTTTGTTGCCTCTAACATGAAACATAAATAAAAATGCTTGCTTGCAGAAAGCAATTCATTGTACTCAACAAATTTAATGTATTGATTATTTTCCCCTTTTTACTTGAGTTGTGAGTTATGATTTTCAGTCAATATCTCATGGATACCACCATAATTATTATTTTCAGGAGGTTATTCCAATAATAAATTGGGAGACAAAGACTTTCAGCACTCCAGTGCTAACTGTTTTGATGTTTGCTTCTATAGCACTATTCCCAACCCTACTTTTGCCATCTACACCCTCTATGTGGGTGGCTGGAATGACATTTGGTTATGGCTTTGGGTTCTTGCTAATAATATCTGCAGCAGCTGTCGGTGTATCACTCCCCTTTATCATCGGCTCAATCTTCCATCATAAAATTGAAGTACGTCCCTTGTCTTCAATCTGAATTGGTTTTTAGTTTCTGTATGTGTTTGCCTCACCTCTCCTAATCAGGATACAACGTTTCGTGTGTCTATGCAGGGGTGGTTAGAGAAGTATCCAAAGAAAGCTTCTATTCTAAGATCTGCCGGTGTAGGAAACTGGTTTCATCAGTTTCGGACAGTTGCCTTAATCAGGATTTCTCCATTCCCTTACATAATCTACAACTATTGTGCTGTGGCCACAAATGTTAAGTATGGGCCTTACATAATTGGATCCTTGGTAGGAATGGTGCCGGAAATATTTGTTGCAATCTATACGTAGGGTTTCTTTCTCTCTCTAATTCAATATTTTTTGTTCTACTAGGATTTTGTATGTGTGTAACCTGGCTACTTATATACTTAGGTGGATTATTTCTCTAATATATAATTCTTGCAATTGAGATTTGTTATGTACACCTAAAATTATCGGGTGAGGTGACCACATTCTACTCACTTTTGGATGTCCATGCAATACTCTAGTAATAGGTTGCGCAATTTACTTGAATAACTCTGGACCAGCTTGAGTATGTTAAGTAGAATATGATAAGTTCAAGAAAAGACAATTATTTTCTCTATGCCTTCGTATGTGGTAATAATTGCTTCAGTCAGATGTTATGGTTTTAAAGTTTTAATATCTGATATAATTGAGAGTCCTGCAAACTCTCCATCTTGCTTTACCATGCTTCAATGTTTCCTTTGTTGCTATATGTTGCTTTCATGATTATTTATCATAAAATAGATCTAGAAATGATTTGGTGAATTGATGAATCTTTAATATATTGGTAAAAGCAAGATAAACCTTCAAAATTTATTTCCATATTTTTGAGATGGGAGATTGCTCGTCTTTGGCTTTTTGGTTTGTGGTTGTATTTAAAATACAATTCCTTTATGTATGCTTCTGACCAAACTCAAGGGTTTGTTTATGGTCATCGAAGTTAGTCGACTTTACATTTCTTCTTTGACACAAGTGCAATTTTTAGTGTGTGACCATCTTCATATCATGTTCTCACATTTTGATCCTCCTTGAATTTGACCGTGTGGAATATATTAGGCTGCAGATTTGGCAATTTATTTATAAAGTAGATTATTGTTTTTCTTGGAACAGTTGAGCATTTAGTTCACTTGTTTTTATTTCCATTTAGATCTTAATTAGGAATGATATCTATATGTGGCTTTGTATTACCAACTGTTCTATTACTTTATAAGGAGGAAAGAGATTGATCTGTTTCCACGCGTGGCATGTGTAGCTTCTTAAATAAATCAGTATACTTCCTGTTGTCCACAAATTGTTAAGTTTGCCTATTATAATGATTGGACTAACTCAAAAGTGCCTGAATGCTCACTCCCACCCTATTCCACTAGCCAAAAATCAAAGACAAGATTCTATTTGGCTGTTTTCCCTCCTTAATACTATCTATCACCATTTTGTCTCCTATGCTATAGTTTCAATGTTGCCCTTGACTTGAGAAAGAGCAAACATTACCGCAATAACATGAATTCAGCATGTTGAGTTGTTATGAATGTTATTGAGATTATTTTTATTTTTATTTTTGTCTTCATATTTTGGAAAGGGTTAAGGGAAACAAATGTAAGTACAGGATCATAGATTGTTTGATTCTCACTAGCCATATACTTATGTTCTAGCCAATGTGGGTTGATTAAACTGATAGGTTCAAACACTGCTGACAAAATGGTCTGGGTTTGATTCTTGCTGGACTTTTTTTCATTAGTGATCATCTGTGAGTACCATTGTAAGCCCTCATTAAGCTTTTAGCATGCTCTGACCTTGAAATAGAGCAATATCCCTTCCTCCTAAACTTTTTGAAAATCCATCTTTACTTTGTCAGCATTAAAATGTTTCTGTCAATTTAATGTTCGACCTATTTTTCTTCCCCTTTAGTTCCCCCTCTTAAGTCTTTTCTGAAAATTTACCTTTCAATACTGTGGTTTAATCTATTTCCAGCGGAAGCATTCTATCTAGTAAGAATGATGACTTTGCCATTAGATAAATGCTTTTATATTTTGTAATCTTTGCATTTGAAATGTATCCAATGTCGGTTTGGTTATAAAGATAGAAACTAATGATGCAAAATATTTGTACCCTCTTGAACTCATTGTCTCCTTGGCTATTGCTGCAGGGGAATTTTGATACGGACATTGGCTGATGCTTCACATGAAAAGCACTCTCTATCTGCTCCGCAAATTATTCTCAATGTTCTTGGATTCTGCTTAACTGTGGCTACAACCATCGTTATCACAGTATATGCTAAGAGACGGCTCAAGGAGTTACAGAGTGAGGACGAGCAATTGTTGCAATAGTCCAGTACCATTTCATAGTGGCAAGTGAAACTCATTGCGCTGCTGGAAGAGGTTTTATTTATCAAGTAACTTCATCCATGGGAAGGGTTGACCGTCAAATGTATTATAATTGGTGAGAAAGGTTGACCAAGGATATCGGAGGTGTAGAATATTTTCAGGTGCTCTGAATTACATACTACTCCCAGCTAAAATAGAACAGAACTCACTCAATTAACTGCTGTATCTATAAGTTTTCGAGAAAATGGATGTAATTGTGTAAACCTAGTTAGGTGAGTGAGTGTGTTTCTATTTTAATTGGGTGTAGCATGTACTCATGACTGAAAATATTCTCCCTACAAAGCTAACATGGCTGACATCTATTTATGGTCAGCATTTTCATTTTGTTCCTTTTATGGATTACAAGATTGTTTTCCTTTTTAGTGCTTCTATCTCATTATTATTGTAAATGATGGAATTTCCGATTTATAGGATTGATTTCAAGGCAAGATTCCTTTGTGTAAATCAAATGCATCAATGTTTGTTGACTTGCCGTAGACTTTCATGTCACTGCAATTAATTTTTTAACAAGCCATAGTAATTATAGTTTGTCTACATTAATTTATGTGTTTGTCGATTTAGTATTTTTATGATGGAAATCGTAAGAGCAGCTAATGTAAGAAAGGATCCTAATAACCAGCGAGTAATTCATCTCTTCAATATGAGTTCAAAACTAGGGCAGGCATAAACAAATGCTTATTGCATGTAATAAAGGAGTGCCGATATGTATTTCAATTGCAATAAATTTAATAAAGCATGTTCTGTGAACAATGCAGATATGTATGAACAAAGTAAGAATATACCAGTTCAGTATTTGTGGATAACCTATAAGATCAAGTGATTCTCAACAATGAATGATCCATAAGGAGTGATCCTAGTATGTTACTATATTTCAAATGGATTCAATCAGTGGATGACGACCTACTTTGGCTGAAACCTCGGCCACAAATAAGTTTCAATTATGTTACTATCTGGCGTATACGGCCACGATAGTAGTAGCTTTGCACGCTAAAGTTGCTGAAATTGAATATAGAGAGGCATAAATACTTTGATGTATTTTGTAGCCAGACTGTTTCGGCTACCCTATAAGCCTACAAACCATCTTGTAATCTATTTATTCGGAGAAAAAGGTACGTTATTAAATGTTGTATAAGTTTTATTATATTTTTTTAGAAAAGAATTTTTTTTTACTCATATCCAGTCATTTTAGTGTTGTTAAATGAGAAACATGAGTGTGGGACTTTGTCCTTGCGCTAAACTATTCTATATATAACACTTTCAACAAGTGTGATACAGTAAGGTGTTACACATTACTTGACAACGAATCTTTGATAGGCCGTGGATCAATTGGTACAGTCTACAGAAATGATTTTGAACGTGGGATCTCAATTGCAGTGAAGAAAATTGAGACTTTGAAAAAGATCAGAAATCAGGTAGAGTTTGAGCTTGAAATTGGGCAAATTGGCAAACCTTTTCCACCCTAATTTAGTTGCTTTCAAGGTTACTATTGGTCCTCCACAAATCAGATTATTCTATCAGGGTTTGTCCCAGATGGGAATCTTTATGATAATCTAAATAGGGAATTGTATTGGTCAGCAAGGTTTCAAATTGCACTAGGAACAGCTGAAGCCCTTACCCAACTTCACCATGACTGTCCTCCTCCCATTCTTCATTTCAACATTAAATCCACTAACATAATCTTTAGATGACAAACATGAAGCTAAGTTGTCTGACTATGGGTTAAGAAAATTACTTCCCATTTTGGACAGTTACGGTCTGAGCAAGTTCCACAATGCTGTGGGTACCTTGCTGAGGCTGAGTGAGAAGTGCTGCTATGTTTATGGTTTAGGGGTAATTCTTTTGGAGCTGGGTTATGGGGAGGAAGCCCTTAGGAAGTACAACAACAAAAGAGGTGGTGGTTTTGTGTGAACATGTGAGGGGGTTATTGGAGAATGGCTCAGCCTCAGATTGCTTAACAAGAAGTTTGGTAGGCTTTGCTGAGAACAAAGTAATTCAGGTTGAGATTGTGGATCATTTGTACCTCGGAGGATCCTTCAAGGAGACCAAGCATGGTTGAGGTTGCCCAGGTCTTTGGATCCATCAGAAATGGACTGGAATCACATTGACAAGCAATAGCTTCTGCGTGCACATCATCAAAATTAACTGCTAATTTATTAAATTCTTAATGGAAAGAGGTTTGAATTGACTGAATATTTCCGGGTTTAGGATGTTAAAGTTAAACATTCAAAAGACGAAAAAAACAAAAGTAAAATCCATTTGATTTTTTATTACCATTATCGTAAAATAAAGTGTAATATTTTCAATGAAGACCTTTGCTTATACCATTTCACCACGTGTTTTCACTTTTCAGGGGAACCACAAACTGCCTAGAATTTGCTCCAATTTATTATGTTTTGGTTACCCTAACATAATAAAAAATTTAAAAAAAAAATTAAAAAATTGTAGTTTAAATAAAAAAAATACGAATTTAAAACGATATGTAAAAAAAGGAGGGAACTTACTTACTGCTAATAAAGTTTATCATTTCTTATTACCAAAAATCTTAACGGTTAATTTTCACTCAGACACTTATTAATTTATTATTAATTACTAATAAATTATAATCGTTAGATTGACAGAAATCAACGATCAAAATTTGATGATAAAAAATGATAAATTTAATTATTGATAAATATATCTTGCCCTATGTAAAATATCTACTAACTAATGCAATCAGGTGCATCATTTTAGGCACAACTTGTCACATGGCACTAAAGATTGTTATTTGTGTAATATAAAGGTGCTCTTAATGTCACTTCACAAACTAAGATGAATTATGTCCAAACTAACGCATAACTAGTTGCAGGTCAATTTGGCGTTACTCACCAAAGATTGTTACATAGCCGGTAGTGCCATTAGTTTCACAGTACATGTAAAGACGCTTAAACCTGGTCGGGTTCTACTTCTACTCTTTTTTATTTCCCTCAGTTCATTATTATTATTATTTCTACTCTCTCTTTTTTCTTATTTTTTTTGTAGGGGGGGGGGGGGGTATTAACAGGGTTTTTTTTTAAATAAAAAATAAAAAAATTAAACACGGGACACGTCTCTTTGGTAAACACCACTTGCATTAATTCATGGTAAAGGCATTTCTCCTCCACAATTTCCTTCGACGAGTCATGCAGAACATAATTACTTACAAAGACTCTTCATAACACTAACATCATCTTTTCATTTCATGTCTAATTGCAAGAATCTCAGTTATCATGATCCAGGGATGACACAAGCATCACGAACGAAGCAAAGATACTCACTTTTTTGCTTAAGTTATCCACATTTGATTCGGCCCATCCTTATGGAGGGCGGACCAAAATAATAAAACAGCTAAACCTTGCAGCATTGATTAAAAATAATAATTTAAAAAAAATCCCACTAAAAGCAAAATATATAGAGCTCGGAGAAAACCGAACCCGTATCCAAACTTTGGTTTCGCTTGTAATTTACCTTGCTTTCTTCCCTTTCCAATTAAGCTGGTAGCGCTAACAGAGCCACCTACAAGATAACCTTTTTGTTCAGTAGATTTCAGTACAAATTCTTCCATGATTATGAATTAATCTGAAACCAGAGAACCCTGTTTGATTTGAATATAAGTCTCCTACGAGGCTCCGACTATCCATTTTATTAAATGTCCTAATGTGTAGGCTTAACTTTACAGCCTATCATGTTGAAGCAACCCCATCACACTGCATAGCACCTATTCATTCAACTGCTCCTTGATGACTGATGGTTCCTCCTAGGAATGTTTAAATCCATGATGTGAGTTTCTCCAAAAGAATAAAGAATCTGTAAACCAACTAAATTTGCAGAAGTAACTGATGCCATATAAACTATGAATTTGTGGCTTCAGAAATTTTCTGTATCCGTTCCATAATCACAGGAATATCCTTTTCAGTCAATGTAGTAAAACAGAAACGGAACCATCCTGGTTCAATACAGTGACAAGAGGATCCTGGGGTAACAATGATCTTAGTAACATTCAGCAATCTATCCCAGAGCTCGAGCTCCCCTTTTTCATTGTAAGAGCGCATTAACCTACTCATGTTAGCCCAACAGTAAAATCCACCACTGCTCCTAGTGCACTCAATCCCTAACTGCTTCAATCCTGCCACAAAGGTGTTGTACATTTTCCGAAGCCGCAATCTGTTAGTCTCAATGAACTTTTGTATAAACCTTGTATCTGAGAGCATGGAGATAAGCAACCGCTGAGTCGGAGCTGAAATGGACGAGAACTTTGACAATTTTCTAGAAACAGCCAGGACACTCTTGTTATAGGAATAGATAACACCCACCCTAAAATCTGGAACAGAGAGGTCATTCGATAAACCATATACTATATGAACTCTGTCCCTGTCATGATCTTCAGCTTCCATGATTTCTGCCATGCTCACAAACTCATCACTTCCATATGTAGACCCTGCAAATATTTCATTAGAGATGATGTGGATGTTCTTCTCTCTAGCAAAGTCCAGAAGACTGCATAGTGTTTCACGAGTTAGCAGATTGCCAACAGTATTTGAGGGATTCGTTATTATTATTCCACGAACTTTCTGACCACGTTTCTTTGCCTGGTGGAAGGCTCGGTCAAGTGCATTTACACTTAAATTGAAGTTATCAGTGCTGCGGCAGGGAACGGGTACTATCTCCACTCCAGTTCGCCATTTTACAACCCCTTCAAAGCTGCATAATGTGTTCAAAACATTTATTTATTTTTTCTTTTGGCAGGAAAGCATGTCACAAAATGGGGACTTCAGAGATGAGAAAATGATTGTTACCTCGGGCTATGAGGCGTGGGAACAAGAAATGCATTTCCATAATCTGCTAGGCAGAAGCTAAGAATCTCAATTGCAGGGGTTGCACCTGCAGTTATTACCATTTGTGAGGGGTTGAAGAAAACTGAATTTTCGGTAGCTTGGGACATGAAACTTGCTACAGCCTGCAGGATTACAGAATTACAATACAATTTTTTTCATTTGAAAAAAAAAAAAATAGACAAACAGACTTAAAAGAAAAAAATTCAAGAGAATGAATACGTATGTCATTATCATCAATGAGACACGATAAAATTCTTAGCAGGAACTTTGATTTTGAGAAACAGATGATGAGACAAGACAGCATAGGTTTAAGGTATCAATTCATAGAAACTTCAGGCTAAAAAGTTTGGGATTCTTAAAGATACAAACATACAAGAAATCAATTATTTCCATACCAATACAATTGTAAATTTGTAAATTACAAAAAAAATCATGCTTCTTCATTCATGTTCTTTTTCCTACATTTCTGATGAGCTATCATTTACATTTTACATAGTGAGAGCCTAGGGGCAGTGGTAAGACTATCAAGGAGGCTCCTTTGAAACAGTCTCTTTGCAAAAAAGTAAGATAAGGCTGCACAGTAGGGTTTGCCCTCTACCATTTACATTTCACAATATCAGTTAGTTCTGAAGCAATTACAGTATCTACTATTGTATTTTGCTGTGTATAACCATGAGCACTCTCAATTCACCAATTACACTTCTAACTACTTAATTTTAATTATAGTGTGTACAATTGTCTTTCAAATAAATATTAATTAAAAAACCAAAATGCAATTAACAAAGTTTGTTAGATTGTGAAAATAGTATAAGTAATAGACAAAAAGCAACTCAATGAACAGCACAACTCTCCTATAATTTGTGTTCCCCAATTAACTAGGTTACAAAATCTTGTCATCATAACAGAAAGAGGAAACGACCAATAACATCACAAAAAATAGTCTTTATGTACTGATCTGTTGACTGTATGTAGAGTCCCTCCATATACATCGAATGCAACCTAAGTTTTAATTGCAATAAATTAAAAATAAGCAGGGAAATAGTTGGAGCAGTAAGGTGAATTACCACTTTCAACTCCATTAATCCATCAAAAGATTGGTAGGCTGCAATCCCGCTTATATTGAGCCCCCTGCAATCTCCTTCCCCCAACTTAGCATTCTTCTCAATCCAATCTTCAACCAAGTCCACGCATAGCTACACCCACCACAAACAAATCCAATTTTGTCACAAACATAATTAATTCAAAAAAAAAAAAAAAAACTGCCCCCACGAAAAAAGAACTAACCTTGTTCTCGCCAGAACCAAGCTGAATAACGCCGTCTGGATTATGAATCTCGTGGTAGGGATTCTCTGCGGCCTTCAGTAAACCGTTGTCGTAAAGAGAGTCAACTGTTAGAGAATTGGCCCGACTGGAGACATAAGCCGAACCGGTGGGCGAGAGATGGGCCCGGGAGAGAGAGCGAGGCAATACGGAGAGCTCCGGAAGCTTATCATTGGCGGCGGCGGCGGCTTCGTCCGGCGGAGAAAAAGGAGGAGGAGGATGTTGATGACGATGGCGGGTTTTGAAGTAAAACTGGAGGATGTAGAAGAGGGCACAAGGGATGACGGAGCCGAAGAAGAGGCCTCCTCTGCCTTGGACAACGCCTTGTAAAGGGACAATGAGTCTCATGGCAGTAGTTGAGGTTGAGGTTGAGGTTGAGGATGAGGATGGTTTGGTTGGTCTCATTGGAAATGGAAAGTGAGAGTGAGAACGAGACAGAGAGATGGCAATTTTGGATTTTGCAAACACCTAATCTTGGATTGTACGCCGTTCCATTCCCTCTCCCTTTGAATAAGGCCAAAACCATTATCATATTATCATTTCCATCTCAAAGCCTCACATTTCCTTTCCCTCTCTCTATTCTCTAATACTGTGCCACCCGCCCGCCCTCTTTTAAAGTTTTCTTTTAAAAATAAAATAAAATCTAATACTATTAATTTTTTTTAAAAAAATTAGTTTATATTGCCTGACATTTTATTTTTTTATTATTAGATTTAATTCAAATTAATGATTTTAGATAGGACAATACTAAACAAAAATAAATAATTACACCAGTAAATCTCACACCTTTGTCTCTTTTTATTTATCCTTATATTATAGGCATTGATAACTTTTTGAACATAAATTGAAAGTAAAGCAATATAAATGACTCTTAACTGCGAATTAATTTCCATTTATGAGAGAGATCAGATCATTGGTTTGGTTTGGTTATTTTGATGGAAATATATATATATATATATATATATATATAAACGACTTATTTCAACGAGTTGATAACTTTATTGAAAAGAGTATATTTCAATATTTTGGGATAACATAAACATAAGGTAATTTTCATGAAAAGATAATAGGAAGGGAGGGGAAGAAAAAGTGAAGAAGCGTGGGGTGCGGATACGTAAACCGTAAGAGATCAAGTCCGATTAAAGAGAGACGGTAACTTGCATGGATGATAAATAAAAAATAGAGATGCGGGACTCATAAGTATTATTGTTTATTTTTGTTTAATTTCGAGATATTTGAAACCAGTAACCTCGATTGATGTAGGACAAAAGTAACCAGTAACCTCGATTTAAATATGGAAAATCATAATCATACAAAAGTAAAAATAAATATAAAATATTAAAGAGATGGGAGTTATTAATCATGTCTTATGTCACAGAAAATAACTATCTTATGTTGCACACTCATGTAATCTTGTGCCCATTTTTTCTTTTCTTTTTATATTTTCTTAAAAATTATGGGTCTCACAACTTTGTTTCACTCACATAAGATACATAAGATTAATAACTCCCATCTCTTTAACACATCTCATCGTACAAAATTATTTTGGATTTGAAATATAAATATTGTACAGGCATATTTGTTATTCTATGTTGTACGAAAATGTGGACGGTGATAGGAGACTCGTAACTTTGTAATCATCAACTATTTTAAATAATCATTTCACCTAACCACGTAAGTGTATAAGTAATAACTCATCAATGTTTTTATATTTTTCTAATACACCTCTTCATATAAAATTTATTTGGACTTGAAGCGAGAATATTACACTAGTTTAATTATTGATTTATCTTATACTGACTTAATTTTATTATAAAATAAGAATAGTGATGATTAAACTCGTGATTTTGTGGTCACTTAAGTTTAATACCATAATAAGCAATTATTTCAAAAAAAAAAAAATAAGATTTTAAATTGAATTGGTTTATCACGTTATAATTATGGGTAAAAGATTTCTCCCGTCACCGGAGATAAAGTTATTTCTAGTGAGCTCAAACAACGTCGTTTTGGAGCGGAAGTGAAGGTATTTTTGTAATTATAATATATTGCAAGGTTATATTAATCTTTATCATTATAATTTTTTATCATATAACTCTAAAACGACGTCGTTTTATAATTTTATCTTCGATACTTTCCCCTATAATTATACCGGCGTGAAATTCAAAATAATAATTGCAAAATTATCCAGAGTATTCACGTATGTAAATTCAGAATATTCAACAACCAATATAAAAACAAAATATGTGGTATCTTAGGATCTGTGAGTCTAAAATGGTTACCAGACACGGCAACGGTTGACAAGATTCCTCCCCTTTGTTGATTTTGGTGACCACTTTTGACGTACCATAACTGCTCCAGCGAAGCACGACACGACAGCAGGTCGTACCAAAATCATGCCTCGTGTACATCACACAAATGCAAATACTCCAGCGCATTCTCATCTTAATTCCTGGGAATGGTATCCCCTCGCAATGCATGTAGGGTCAAGATCCCCTCCCATTGAAAAAGATGTTTTGCAGGGGTCCTTATAGTTTGTTCACCGTTCAATTGAATGCACAACTCAAACAGACTTGTTAAAAAATATCCTTGAAAAAATAATTCTATATAGTATAACACAAGAAATATGTTGAGTAGATGCCACAATCAACGGTACGTCTCTGAGTTTATCATGATAACCATGAATAAAATGAACCGTAAAGTATTGGCCACATGCTAACATTTGGTCTAAGGTTGCTTTGGGGTAAACTCAATGCGATGTTAGTATACAGACAAAAAAGTTGAGTGAGTGGAGAAAGGGGCTTTACAATGACGCTTGGAATCGCGGATACTTTGGTCGTTTCACTTTACTATTACAGAGCTGATAATTGATAGAGCAATACGAAAACAACCTGCTGTATTCTAATCGATTAATAAAGTCAATATTTTCTCCCTTAAAAATTTAAGCCTGAAATTTAGCTGGACCACACAAAAAAATCCCTTGATAAATTGGACCTTAATATATATAACTTTTGCATTGATAAAAAAACTTGGACAGGGATTACCCAAAAAAAAAAAAGGAACTTGGACAAGAACGTCTGAGGTTGAGGCTTGGATGGTTAACCTGTTGAGTATGGGCTAATGCTAAGAAGCATGAAGCCATGAAGTCATGAACCGTGTCCAGATAGCGACGTATGAGTCTCAACTTGAATATACGAGCTTTTTTAGCCAAAAAATAAAAGGCATTAATATACTAAAATTACTAATGCTTATGCGTTTGGCATTATGTTATTATTGGTATGCCTACATTGGAATAAAAAATTATATTTGCTGCATTTATGGACCTTTAAGCATGAACGTGAGTGCATGTTACAACCTAGGGTTGCATAGAAGAATCACAGAACTCTGATCAAAGAAAAAGAAGAGGAATCGTTTATTTCATTTAATGGTGGATTACATCTCAGTTTATGTGTATTTATACATCTCATTATCTACACTAATGAGTATCCTAACTAACTAACAACCGACTAACACCAAGGAACAGCTTTAGTTGCCACATTGTGACTTCATGTGAAGTCACGTGCCCAGGCTGGTGCTCCACGTACGCGAGTAGAGGTTCTACGTGTTGTATCATTGCCCTCCCCAACGACAGAGACCTTGTCCTCAAAGTCTATATGAGGATAAGTCCTGCGCAGATCACCTTCAAATTCCCACGTTGCATCCTCAGGGACAGATTGCGACCATTGAACCAAAAATTTACGTTGATTCTTGTGTTTGCCTTGATCCACTCTGCTTTCAAGGACAGCTATGGGCTGTTGAACAAGATGATTGTCTATGGACTCCAAAGGCAACGAAAGAGTAGAGGCTAAGGGGTTACCACAGAATTTCTTCAGCACCGAAATATGAAAAACAGGATGGATACGAGATCCTTCGGGAAATTGAACCTTGTAAGCTACAAGACCCACAATTGCTATGATTGGAAATGGGCCAAAAAAATGTTTTGCCAATTTGTGGCTAGAACGTTTGGCCACTGATATTTGACGATAAGGCTGCAACTTCACTAACACATAGTCACCTATACTGAATGACCGATCCTAGCGATGTCTATCTGCAAGGGTCTTCATTCTGTTTTGGGCCCTCATCAAATTTTGCTTAAGACGAATCAACAAGGCGGAACGATCCGAAAGTATAGTATCAACAACTTCCAACTTTAGTAGACCACAAGGGTAATGAGGAATGGATGGAGGAAGAGGACCATATAATGCTTGGAATGGGGACATTCCAATGGAGGAATGTACTGCGGAGTTATAATGAAACTCAGCCCATGGAAGAATAGAAGACCACGAAGCATGTTGCTCAGAACAGTAAGCACGAGGGTATTGCTCCAAATAAAGATTGGTGACCTCAGTTTGGCCATCGGACTGGGGATGGTAAGTTGTACTCATGTGCAACTTTGTGCCACTGAAACGAAAAAGTATTTGCCAAAATTGACTCAAGAAGATGCTGTCATGGTCAGAAACCAAGGACCTGGGAAAGCCATGAGATTTAACAATGATCTCAACAAACAATTGAGCAACCATAGCTGCTGTGAAGGAGGATGGCAAAGCTCCAAAGTGTGCATACTTGGTAAGTCTATCAAACACCACTAGAACGGCAAAAAATTTTTTTGATAATGGCAAACTTGTGATGAAGTCAAGGGTTAAATCATCAAAAGGAACTTCAGGTATAGGCAATGGTTGAAGAAGACCAGCTGGTGGGGATGTGGTAGCCTTCATTGATTGACATATAGCACATTGTTGGACAAAAGTCTTAACATCCAGTCGGATTTTAGGCCAGTAAAAAGAAGCTGAGAGCCTTAAGAATGTGCGCAAGGAACCAGCATGACCTCCCACTAAAGAAGAATGAGCCTCTTCCATTAAAGGTTGCTTTAAAGATGAAGTTGAGCTCAAAAGGTATCGCTGTTTATGAAATAAAATGCCATCCTTTTGAGAAATATTATTATCCACTAAGTCACCCTTAACCAATTTTGCATGTATTGCCACCAAATCCAACGCTGTCTCATTTTCTTTCTTTATCTGATCGACCAAGTTGCATGAGATTTCAGACAAACACACATTGCAAGTGGCCTCACCATCATGCTGTCTGGACAGCCCATCCGTTACTGAGTTTAAATTGCCACGTTTATACTCAATGGAAAATGAGTAGCCCATCAATTTGGAGACAAATTTCTGCTGCTCTGGAGTGTTGATGACCTGTGACAAAATTTCTTTAATGCTCTTGTGATCTGTACGCGAAATAAAATGAGACCCCAAAAGGTATGGTCTCTATTTTTTTACTGCTTCAACAATAGCTGTGAATTCTTTAATGTAAGTGGAAGCAGCTGCTAACCGAGGACCAAGCTTTTTGCTGGAAAAAAAAGATTGGCTTCCCTTTTTGAATCAAAAACTGCTCCAATTCCAGAATTCGATGCATCAGTCTCCACACAAAATGGCAATGAAAAATCAGGTAAGGCTAGCACCGGTGTTGAAACCATAGCCTGCTTGAGAGTGACAAAAGCAACCTCTGCTTCGGGTGACCACTGCCA